CGCCAAAAAATTCTTTGTGAGAGATCCTTGTTTTTTAACTTCATTCCGAAAACCTAACATTTCCTTGAAACATTTTTTTTTTTAAGAACAAGAAATATGGGTCTGTGTTTACTCTTTCAGTTCAAAAATTTGTATTCAACGAACTGATACCCTATCAAACTATGATAAATTATGGTGAAACCACAGTGCAGTTGAAAATAAAAGAAAATTTGAATTATCTACTCCACAAATGCTTTGAGATGAATTGCGCTTATTTAGCATTAATTAAATTAGTGCACTATTATGTATTATTTTGCAACAAATTAATGTTATTTTTTGGCTTAGTAAAAGCAAAACTATAAATAGATATATAATCTTCAGTAGGGAGGAAAAGCAAAATAAAGTAATACGAATGTCAAGTTTATTTAGACTTGAAAAGAGTAACTATGTAAATGAAGATCAAAAGTTGACAGATAGTTATTTTCAATGAAAATTAACTTTCTGAATGGCTATGAACTAATGAAGCACGCGGATTTTTGTGCGGATATCTTCATTTTCTACTACAACCAACGGAAATCACACTGACGATTCTTTAGTTAATAAGTGAAAACATGTACAAAGTTAAGCATAGCCTATTTGAATGTTCAGATTGAAGATATTTTTCCAGTTCGGGCAAAAAGTGCAAAACCATTAAATATGTATTTCTTTCATTTCATCCATTAATCATTCTATTTATTGCAAACATACTTCTCCAATTAAGGTTTTAAAAGGTTCTCATTTCATTTTTAATAACTTAACAATATTATGAGCATGCCATTATGGTGTCCTTTCTTCTATTCAAATATGGTTATGTCACATACCAAATCAAACATATTTAAATGGAAAGAGAAAAAAAATCTTTTAAGAGCAAAAAAGTTTTTGCATTTAGCAAAAGTGAGACCGATAGCTATCAGCAAAAATGGGACTCATTAGGAACATTCATAATAGAACTGCTTTTCGAATATGTATCATTTCTCCGTCAGTTCACCTATTATTTTCTCTTATTAAGTCAATAAGTGTTTTAGAATTAATGAGAAATGATTTACTAATGAAAACTTTTTGAACATAAAAAAAAACTTTTTGATACGAGTCATATACTAAGAGGTACTGATATGAGATGAAGTAAAATCAGCTGTCGTTTCAGATCATAAATATTTAAAATTAATATACTGCTTCTGTTTAATTCATTTTTATTCTTTTCTTTCATTTAATAATTATTTAATTGCAGCATTTTTAAAATTAATGTGCTGTTTATTATAAGATACGATTTTTTAAATGATTCTACTGATAAAAATGACGAAAAATACTGTGATTAAACACATATATTTCTCTACTAACTGTTTCGTCTTACAACGAATAAAAAGACTAAGCGGTTCCGAGTTAAAACTGATCAACAGGATTTAAGATATTAATGTTAAGTAGAAATCATAAATAAAAGGTATTTTATAAAATAAAAAAAGGTCGCAAAAGGTATTTTATTCCGACATAAGTTGGGTTTCAGAGTTTCGAAATTATTCAAAAATGAAATTTGGTTCAACTACGAGCAATAAATTATTTCATAACTTTTTTTTTTCGAAATACCTCTTCAGAAGCTACTCACAGATCTTTTATTTAAGTGAAAAAAATATTGCAACTGGAATGAAGTTTTAACTCTATTTACATAGATAAAATCTATATAGATTTCATACCTATAAAATATTATAGATCCTAATATTTATCTTCGCTATCACTTTAAAACACTCATACCTCACTACCATTAATTCATAAAGATACCAAGAAAAACAGGAAAATCTAAAAACTGCCTTTGCAGAAGAATTATGTTTTTTCACATTAAATGCACATACAAACGTAATTCTCACTGCTATCGAGTAGTTGAACAATTTTAATATGATAACAACAAACTTCTAAAAATTTAAAAATGAGAAGTTTCGCAACTAGATTTTTTTATTGGGTACAGAGATTTACCGTGAAATTAGAAACATGAAATTTTTACAGTTTAGCGTGCTCTGATTAAAATAGTATGAGTTGTTCCTTATTATTTTAGTCGTATTATTTCAGCAATGGAACTCAATGCTTTGTTACCATTCAAAAAACATGAAAATGTTAATTAGATGTGTGAATCTAATTAAGGAGTTGTAAATTAACTCCGATCAATCGTACCAGTAGTTTTTATAACAAATATGAGGAACAGATAATTTTTAAAGTAAATCAGTATGTTCTTTGCATTCAGGTCTTATCTTTTTCTTTTGAAGAACACTGTTCCACTCCAAAACATCGACTCTAGTTGGCTCACATTAGTTTTCGATGGCCGTTTCACTATTCAATGTTATTCTTCTCATTTTGAAAATCGCTAACTGTTAAATATAAGCTCTACGTTGGCTAAAAGTAAATATAATGAAGTAAGTTTATTTTTTTCGAAAAAAAACATGTTACAGAATGTAAAAGATGGAAAAAAAATATGAATTGTGTCACATTTGTCAGATATAAAATCTTACACTTTCTGAACAACTAAATACCTCCTGTAGTTTCCTCATTTATGTGACACAATAACTGGCCCTGAATTTGTGGATAGAATTATAAAACGGATATAATTCGTTTTCTACTTTTTTTGTTCTAGCGAAAGGGCTTTACTTATAAGTACTGCGAATAAATGGCATTTCACATCCTCTACTCTGATACTGTAGCTAGCCTCTCAAGGAAATCCACGATATAGGATGGATGCCAACTGATTAATATGATCAAGATATTTTTAAGCAAATTCATTGCTGTAGAGAGTTGGTATGTGATTAAAGCGATGAGTCTCATAGCTAAAAGTAACAACCAAAAGTGAAATATGTGATTTGAATGATTGCCATTAAACAAGTTTGTGAAAAAATTGAACCCCTGTTAATTCACACTTTAAATAATTATTTCAAAGAAATTCAAGCAAATAAGTTCAAAAAAATTGTTATAAAATACTGGTAAGAAATGAACTTCAGCTGAGAACTTATGATGAATGAATAGAGAACTGAAAAATTGAATAGGTAACTTTATAAAAGTAATTTAATTACCTGTATTGGATATTAGCAAACTAATTGAAGAGGAATTGTACAAGTATTAATTGATAGCATGAATTAACTGTTATTATTATGATCAATGAAATATGCCGAATGAAGTGTTTTATATATGATGGTCATTGATTTTTTACATATGATAGCCACTGACATGGAAATTAAATGGACATGCAGAGAATTCATAAATTAAAACCAACCCTAAAATGAATTTCAGCTAAACAACTGCAGCACAGCACTGAAATTGAAAAAATTTAAAGAATAAATAATATTCATGCTTAACTATCTTATTCCATCCACATTTTATATATTCCACCTTTTCCACATTCCCCTTTCATCTTCATTAGCCTCTTTTCATCACTAGGTGACTTCGTTATGATCAAAGACAACCTGTCACTTAATCATTTGGTTCCACTCCTATTCATAAATGTATTTTCTGTTCCATTTTCTGAAAAAAAAATTACTTGCCTAATGTTGTTCAAGTCGATTTCTTGATAGTGTCAAGTACACGTAATTAGCATTTCTCCTAGATGGCTATTTTCCGACTTTTCAATTGTTCCAATACTAAAGCTTCATTACAAAAGTTCGGCTAAAAGTTATTCTTTCAAGGAACTAATTCCAGCTAGCACAATTCCTTACATATGCGTTTGAGATTAGCAGATATTAATTTCGTTATTTGAGTTTTTTTTGAAACAAAATGTGGACACGTTGAGAGAATTTTGGCTCAAGAATGAATAATATATTTCACTTGTAATGCTTATTTCACCGAGTTCAAAGCAACACTTGGAGATTTGACAAATAAGAAAGTAAAAAAGAAATTGATAATTTTACTTTTGTGGACAACAAATTATTTTGTGTTAATCCTTCGTCACTTAAAATTTTCAAACAAAATCGAAATATGCAATTTTCAAATGTGAAAAAAAATTTCTTCAACGTAATAATGGAGATATATTTGGTACCACTGCAGCCTATTTTTTCCGATATGTTACATAAGTGGCTGTCTTTTCTACTACTTTTTAGTAGTTTAAATACTAATTAAATTTATTACCTTGAGAGAGCGCTGAGATCAAGAAAAAAAAACTTTGGTTTTGAACAAAGGCAGGATATTCGTTATATATTGTTCCAAAATGAGTTGCAATAGAAATTTCGAAATTTTTTTTATATTCCGATTTATAAGAATTATTTGTTTTATTCTTATCCAGTTTTTGAAGTTCATTTGAATATCAATAACTGAATTTCAATAGGGAAGTGATAATTTTGAAACGCGTTGTGGTCTTGCCAATAACAATCTCAGACCAAGGATAAAAGTTATAAAAGTTTGAAAGTAATCACGGAGAAGATAATCCAAGTGAAACGAGATGTGGTACAAATGATAAAAGAAGATTCTTGAAGAGGAAGGAAGAATGGATGATGAAAAGTCCGAAGAGAAGAAAGGAACGGGACAGAACACTGGATTACAGGGTGTGATGAGTGAGGAAGGGGGAGTGCTGCTGCTGAGTGTCCTGATGTCCAGATTGAAGCCAGATCCAGTGACGTAGCTGGTGTTGCACGGAAAACACAATCAGCCCCAATTCCACCCCCACTCTCACCTCCTCCACCTGCAGCTTATCTTCCAGATCACCAGCTGACTCAAATACTGCAACACAAGACACCCCCTCTCTATAATGATGTGATGTAATAGGTGTGCAGAGCGGAGGGCTATTATGGCACCCTCCTTCCCTCCCTCATTCTGTTAAGCAAAACATTGTTGTAAGGAAGCATCTGTTGCTTCGTAAAAGTAGGGGGAGAAAATGTGAGCTTAGGCGATCCTTATGTCGTCGGTCACCATTTTGCCGTAATTCCATCAATCCGAAATATTCAGTGGCTAAATTCTCTTGCAGATATTTCTCTAATGTGCCACTCTGAATGTTCTGGAATTTCAAATTCAACGATATGTGGGGAGCAACATCCGCTTTCGCCGGAAATATTTTAACCATTCTCTATGAGGTGCCTGTCAATCTGCTTGTGTTCTCCTCCCACTGTCAATCTGTGGTTCAAAGATTTCCGAAGCAAAGACAGCCGAAATATGCTAAAAACATTTTAATTCGATTGTTTCTTTTGTAATAAAATAAGATGAGAAAATAAATCTCAAGAAGTTATAAGTCTAAGGAACGCTTAGGACTCTTGAGATTTGAAATCTTGGCGAGCTCTTGTTCTCCTGAAAGATTTAACAAAACACAAATTCACACTTCATTTGTAGTCAATTATAACAAATATATATAATTGGTAGTTAGGAATTTTTATAAAGTGAGGAGAGGGAACTTCTTTTTAGAAAGAGCTGTTGGCATGGAAACTTTACTATTTGTTGGCAGTTCAATGCACAACAATTTTTTACGATACATTGTTTATTTTGAATCTGTTCCGCCTGTCAAGCAGCCCAAAATGTCTGTGACCTGTATGTCTGTCACTGTTTAAGTTCCTGTCTCCCTCTAGAATCTGTTGCATTTCACTGACTGCCTTATAAATTACATATAGGCATAAGGTTCATTGACGGGCACTGACTCTTGCAGTGATGTTCTGCTATCGCAATTTTATGCACTGTACTCCGGATCCCATTCAGAATCCTCGGTGTTTTGAAAAGTTTCGGAATTCCTTTTTTATACAGATTAAAGGAAAGGTATTACTGTGAACAGAGTACAGAATTTACTTAGATTTCGTTTACAGTATATATTTGCGATCTTATCACTGTTTCTCCAACAAACATGTCAACAGTGTCAACAACAATGCCATGATTTATTTGCACTGTCTGGTCGACAGAATGTAGTTGTTTCTCTGCTCTTGCTAACCGGTAAACATAGTAGTCAATGTTGATCATTGGTAATGTCTTACTGGATTTTCATTTTACAAGCATATTCAAATTTGTCTGATCTCTGTCACATATCTTTGATGTGAAGAGCCCAGAAGTTGTTTTACTCATAATTTACAGTTGTATGGGAATCACTTTTATTATCTACGTAATATGCTTACAAAAAAGTACTGAAATCTTTGCTGCAACAAATTATTTGTTGTTTTAAATCTTTGTTAGATGTTATAAAGAGAATTATTTTATGGATGTTCGTTTATCTACTCATCTTTCCGTACAATCTTCGTATAACACAAAAAAATTACTTGGATAACATCAATCTTGAAAACTTCTGGGTCTGAGAGGAATCAGAAAGATAAATAAATGGGAGAAACGTCCTCTTTAGTTTTAGGATATCACAATTCATTTTCATTGAATTCATAATTTCTTCTATATGTTTGGAATGCAGACCCGCTCTAATACTTCATACAATATTTGGTTTCATCTCCAGCCCTACACTGCCAAAAGTGTAAGATGAGAGGCCAATTTGAAACATTAGAGGTATTCTGTGAGACATATTTCGCTATCTAAAACAAATACACGCTTCCGTCAAAACTTGAGTGTTTTAAAATACGGGGAAAGAATGCTTTCCATTCCAAGAATGATTCATAAACAACCAAATAACAGTTTTTCGTGGTCTCCGTGCCAGACACCACCAAAATTGTTGCTTTAAAGCGCATTTCCACAGTAAATCATTTCTTCTCTATTTGATGTTGCTGTCCGAATATATGTTGTACACATACTTTATGAGGGTGTTTGTATGCACAAAATGCTGAGATGAGAGAGGTTGTGTTGTTTATGTATAGAAAGAAATTAATATCTGGTGAAGAGCGGAACTGATTCAAATCGGATCATAACAATCATTCATCGAAATGCATTTGTGTCAATGTGCGTGCTTCTAGCTGGCTGTGGGTTTATTGGCAAAAATTTTTAATGGAAACATATTGGTAGCGTAGCGAATTATGGACGTGATTAATACAGATGGAGGTTATGCAGGCTTTATTACCAATCCTTCGCAAATCTGTTAACGCTCGATAAATATATATATATATTTGCACAGCGAGAGCCAAATAAAGTGATTATCGACAACGATCATCAAGTGATCAATCCTTCTTCCAAACTCTTCCTTATTTTTTCACATATGAGCTGCTCCTGTAAGTTTCGAAGCGTAGGAGTGAAATGCATTATATATATATATATAACGATATAAGCACTACTTTCTTCGCCTCAACGGCAAGTTGCTTGAGTATGATTGTTTTCTACATCCACCACTTTTAATTACTTTTTTTTTTATTTTTCTCTTTTCGGTCGCACTTCAACAATGACCCCTATATTGTATATCTAAGTTTTTTTCTTTTTGCTTTAAAAAGTTCTGCTTTAATTTTATGAGTTATAACTTCACCAGTTGCACATCACCACCACTTATTCCTAGCATACATTTCAAAACTAGTTACAAGCTAATATCTTGTCGATTGTTAATCAATACATTTTCCATCGTCAGATTACATGTTTCTAACCACATTCAGCAGTGATCCAACACAGAGTTCTGTTTTGTCGAGACATCAAAACATTATTGATTATCGTTATTAAGCACTCGTTAAATAAGCTAGAGTTTAGTCGTTGATTGTCTAAACCAAGGCCAAATTCCGAATAACCTATTCTTTTCTTGTTCTCTTCCGCGACTCTCCTAAAAAATCTATCCAAAAAAGGTTAAACCAATTTCATCGTTTATATTCAACTAATACTAGAGATTAAATTACCAAATAATGCATGTAGCTTCAAGAGAACTCTGTGCGTGATTACCAAGTTTTGAAAAAAAAAGAAGATTAACTGAAAATATTAACATATTTTTTATAAGTTCACTTTCTGGAAATCTATTTGAAAAGAAAGAGAACATGTCAGATAGTGAAATATTACATTTTGTTCTTTAGAAAAACACAATGTTAATTATCTGAAAATGTTTAAAAAAATTTTTGAACGCACTTCTCTTGATTCTTTAATTTCATAACTTTTAAAATTCTTACAAGATATCACGAACAGTTCGAAAGACGATATTACTGCATTTATTTTCAAATTTGTTTCAATTCTTTTTTGGAATTTTAGCAGTGGATTTTTTTTTTTGTTTCTAAATTTAAATTCAAAGAAATAAAACTGCATGCGTGATTTGTTGAAATTATCGTTGCCTTGAGAGTTGAAGAAATGATGTCTGAAGACAGGTTAGGGCCTTTAGTGTAATTGGAACCTGAAGTATACGAATTCAATTTGTTTTTCACACTGCATGAACTCCAACAAGAAACCAATCTGGTGAATGCGACAAAATTAAACACCGTATTTGACTGAGTGTTTGTTGACGTTTATTGTAGCATCCAAATCATCTGTCCTATTAAGAACATCTTCAATTACTCTGTCGAAAATAGCATTCTCCGTGCCATTTCAATTTTAATTATAAGAAAACCTAATATCTTTTTTTCTGTGCAAAAGTGTTCAGTGTTCTTTTCAAGATTTTTTCATTTCTTGTTTATGTTTTGTTAAGTGATCCCATACGCAAATGATTTCAAATTCCCACATGTTAAAATTTTGATTTACTTTATTTTATGTTTTTATTCCATTCTTTAAACGCAAACAAATTTTTAGACGAGCATTTTGCATTAATACAAAAATCGTTAAAATCGAAAGGTTTTATACCTTTAGTGATAATCTGATTTCAAAGTGTTAATAATATTCTCGTCCTGATTGTATCAGACTTACGAAAATTTTAGAATATTAATGGTGCATTAAACAGGATAATTGGTCCCGTGCATATTTTAAAATGCGTCATGCATTTTCATCCACAAGCAATTGCTGTAACAGCGCATTCAAAGCCGTCCGCTCTAATCACATGCATTGTCTCACATATATGAATAAAAACGATCTGGAACAACGCGACATCAGTGGTCAAACACCGCTTCATGTGGCTGCCAAACTTGGCTTGTTGCAAGCTATCGAGTATGTTTGTCTTACTGTTTTTTTTTCTTCCCTTTAATTTTCAAAGTAATGAAACAAAAGCACTAAATATTACTGTTGTCTTGTGATATTTAGTCTGCTGCAACATGAAGCACCAGCAACACAAGATGCTGTATCAATCTTCGGAGAGAATCCGGCTCTTGTCGCTGCAGGTGAAGGGCAGACGCTAAGCGTTGAATTACTGTTCAGTGGAAATTCGAAACATGTCTCTGCTCGGGCACAACAGCGAGACATCAATGGTACTACGGTGTTAATGGCTGCTGTTGCACGAGGAAACAATGACCTGGCTTTGTGGCTTCTGAAACGATTCGGAAAAAAATTGGCAATGTTACCTAACAACTTCCGTATGCTACCGCTGCATGTCGCTGCTGCAAATGGTGTGCAACACTGCCTTTACCTTTACGGATAACGTTTTATTCATTGCTGACCATCACTGATGGTAACCTTCAAGTAATCATCATATCAGTGGTTCAACTCCCACGCGCATACCAGTTTAGTTTGTCATTTTTAGTGTCATAACTGAGAATATCAGAACTTAATGAGCTTAATAAGATTTTGATTAAAATAGCATTCATTTTTCAATTTAAATTTTTCAATTTAGTACGAAGTATTTCTTTCACACAACTTTAGTTTTACAAATAGCAAACAAAATTTTGATGTATAATGGCATTATCGTATCGGATTGTAACGCAGCAGTGTCCTAACTTTCATAGAATCAGCCATTCTATTAATCTTAAAAATGAACGACATGCGCATCAGCAGTTTTGTAAATGTATTTTTCCTTTTAAAAAATTGTAAACAAGTTTTTGAAAAATTGTAGGTAATATTGAATTTATTCGTAATGCAATCAAATACGATCGACGTATGGTTAATTTCAGAGATCAGTTCGGTAATCTTTGTTTTCTTGAATCTGTTTTCTAGAAAATTAAATTAGTATATATATATGCTTTTTTTTTCGGTAGGTGTGACTGATTAAGGTGAGATAAACATAAATTGGAATTTCTTGTCATGCACAATTTATTACTACTATGTAAAAAGAGATGGATATTATTGTGAGATGATCAGTGACAGAAATAATAATGTAATGCTGCAGGTTGTACACCAGTGTTCTATGCAATTCAAGGAGGATGTTTTAATTGTGTTAGACTTTTGATTGAAAAAGGTGGTGCAGATATTTGTATAGTATCAGATAAAGGACAGTCACTGCTGCATGTTGCATGCCTTGCTGGCCATGCGCATATTGTTCGATGGATAGTAAATCGTTCTGCAGCTAATGTTATTTTATGGACAACTAAAGATAACGCTAATGCCATACATTGCGCTTCATGTAAGCCTAAAATAATTAAGTTAAATCTTCCAAAAACTTTTCAGTTAAATCTCCCAAAAACTTTTCAGAAATAAAGCTTATTTAAAACAATATAAGGCGAAGAATATTTATAGAAATTTCTTTATGTAACTGAGGAACAAAATCTTATTTGTTAACAGCCTCAAATACTTTTTCTTTGAATTGTAAATTCGACGACAGTAATTCAAGTGGAGAGAGCAGTTTCCACTTCTTTTTGTGTAATAAAACTTTCCCAGATAGTTTGAAGACAAACTTGAAGACTGAAAATGTAGCAGAACTTTGACCAGTCATGTTGTTTTTGAAAATCTATTTTCGGAACTTGCACAGCAGTTTTCTTTCCCTTTAGATAGTGGGAGCGTTGCTGCACTTTATATTTTACTTCATACTGTATCTTATAAACGACGACGGCAGATACTTGCGTTGCGAGATTCCCGTGGTAACACTCCGCTTCATCTTACAGCTATCAATAATCACACTGATGCTGCACAGTATTTGGTTAGTTTTAAAACCATTATGTAAATGTATCTTGTAATTTACGAAATGTGTCTTTTAACATAATCAAGGAGTTCAATTGCGATTTTGATGTAAGACATCTTAGATAAAGCAATAAATATTTAAATATCTAAGGAGCAATAAATATTGGAACTGCTAAGGTATAGTAGTTGTGATTATTTAGCTAAGAAACATACTCCTTTTGGTAAGCATAATTATAAGACTTTGCTGACCAATTGAACAGTTATATTGTTAGAGTCCCATCGGCTTCATTAATTTCACTCTGTTTGTCAGTGGTTGATAACTTTAAGGATGATTTTTTTTTTTTCAGTTGGAAAATGGTGCCGAACCCCGACTGCTCAACAATGGAGGACAAACAGCTGAAACAATTGCATACATACAGAAAAATTATCAACTCGCAAAACTTTTGTCGTACTGGAAAGGTATTTGGCCTTGGTTTTTGTGGAAAGCTTTTAAAACTACAAATTATTGAATATTTGTTGAAAAGCCCGTATAAATTCACTGTCTAATGGACACAATAAAATCACCTAATAAAAACAATAAAAATCAATTGGTTTAAGAACGAAAACATAAAAGAAAGGAATGGTTCACACCGTTAGCAACAAATGATATATCGCATGTAAACAACGTCTATTCGTCTGATTACTGGAGTACCTCAAAAACCTCAAAGTACACTATGCCGAATAGTTCAAGTCACATTGTGCCAATCAATATTGCTGAACCATCGTCATTACAACAAAACATCGCCTCGAAATATTCATCGAAAAATAACTTCACTATCACCGATCCAATGTAAGTCCAAGCTTGTTCTGCTTTAATTTCAAACATACGTATTATAAGAATATCTGCATGTGTAATTTGGCTTTTTGTGTGATTAAACTGCATTTATTATAAACACAGTGAGGCGATAATGGGTGAACTGCGTCCAATAACGTACGTTGCATCGGATGAAGGTGGTCGGATTTTTAAGGATCTTTCAATTCAGACCGATCGTGACTCCTTGCGAATTGCAACAAAGGTTACACTGTGTTTCTTTTATGAATGATATGGAATATAATTTCTTAATAAGTTCTTAAAAGCTTAAGCACTTAAATTACCAATTGAAAAATGGCTTATTGTGATAACTTGTAAACAGCGGTGGTTGCATCGACATGCTTCCATCCTCAATTAACAAATGAGGAAAAATAAGCGAAAGAGAAGACCCTTTCGAGATCCTCACTGAACATTGTTTATCACTTATCAGTTAAAATGTAAGCAGGAGCCTTAGAGCAGGTTCTGGATGAGGACGAGTGGCGAGAAAGCCTGGCAGCAGTCGCACAAATTGACAGAGTCCTGCAAGAAATTGATGCTTAAACCGATTGGCAACATTAAGTCCAAAGTCTCCATTTCTTCGATGTTTCAACAGACCTTGAAAACTGAATGTATCCCACAAAATACATGCATCCCATACTCCCCTTGGCTCATATCTTCGTTCTTCCCCGTCCATTACTCAGCAACTTTCTAAAACATCGAGGAATCGGATAAGAAACACCGGTCCTAACTCCCCGATGATACTGATACTTGTTTTATTATCTTTCGATTTATACATATCTCAGGGATCCAATCCAATTCAAAAGCTTTTGTTAATATATGTTCAATTTCTGACACCGAGATGAATATGGTTTTTGGTTGTTCACTTTATAACAGATAAATTTCTGGGTTCCTAAAAAAGTTTTACAGATTAATCCCCTAAACCTCCACTTCCCCCACTAGTCTTCAAATCTATTTGCTCAATTTTTTTTGAGCTGTATATTGCCTGTTAGTTAATTTATCAATACCGTACTGTTACTCTGTTTCATTCCTCACTAAGCAATCTTCACCATATTGTAATGATCGTTAAAATTTCAGTAAATTGTACTTAACTGACACAACATTATGGGAATGTGCTTATTACAGTAAAATAGATCATATCCTTTGCAGTGCTGCCAATGTATATGATGCTGAAACATCTATTCTCAAAACACCTTTAACAACATATTAAAAAATAAAGATAAAAGTTTTAGTACATTCACAAATAGTTATTGCAAATACATTTACAACTTTCTGTAAGAAAAAAAGATTATGAGCTACATGCAACAAGTATTTGAGTGTTCATATAAATCTCAAACCACCTTTTTCAGGGGTCTTTTCTGCCGACAATTTCCCCATACAGAAGGTTTTTTCAACACTTTGGTTATTTCCCTTGCACCTCGTCTAACTTCTTTCCTTTCTGTTAAATGTTGCTTTTCTCTCTTTACCGAACATTCCTTTTTTGCAGCCAACCGACATGTTTTCATTTTAAATGTCACTTGCAGTCCACCAAATGGTACGCATTGTTCACTTCCGCCAATATCTAATAAATCTCTGCGTTTCATACCCATCGTCCCAGCTTCCACCTTAAAAAGATCTATTTAGTTCACAGTTCTTTTAGTGCTATATCATCTATTTCATTCGTCTCTCTGAGTAAAGAAAAAATCTGAATGCTTCGATGCTTTGCCAAATTACAAAAATAAAAGAGTGAACCTAAGCAAAAAAATGAAACAGCATTTTTTCTCCATTCTTACCTTCTGTTTTAAGCATTGTACAATGTCTTCATCGATATCTGATTCAATTAAGTCGAAACCTTTTGGCTTCACAGTTTTTAGCTTCTTTAGCATTACTGATTGCATTTCATCATCATCACTATTTTCATTATCATTGATCATCTAAAAGAGAAATTGTGAAGATCGATCAAGTTACTTACTTTAACCTGTAAGCACTGGAGAGACGCTGATTCAGAAATCTATTTATTACAGATTTTCAACAAATTAAATGAACTTACAGATAATTCTTCTGCTGCACTTCTTTCATATCTCTCATCAATTTCAATAAGACTTTCGTCATTACTCCTGCTGCTATCGCTGCTTGTACTTTCATCGATGTCCAGATCTTCTGTACTCTACATTTCTGATTAAATAAATATTAATTTCCAGAGTAATAATTACTCTAGTTACCTTGTTATATATATATTACCACCTTCTTTTTTCGACAATTTTTGTCGTTCTCCGTCCAAAGAACATGACTATCAAATCATAACAAAATTGTCCTACAAGAGTAATGAATGTGAGATCAACTCCCGTTTATCCAATTATATGAAATAAAGCATACCTCAAACTTCAAACTTGGTTGGATTAAATTAAATCTATAATCTGTTTTAAGAGCAAGAAAAAATACCTTGTTGTTGTTGCTGTTTGTATTACCACCTTCTTTTTTTGACAATTTTTGTTGTTCTCCCCCTAGTTTTTTCATAGCTGTGAGAAGCAGTTGAAACTGTTCGCTGTTTTCATCAACTTGAAAATCAGGATTTGTGAACAGAGAGCCAAAGCGTTTGTCTGACAATATGGAAGCTGCATCCTTGTTCTAAAGGAGATATCGATATCGTAGCAACACGTATATCACTAGCTGATATTTCAAAAACTGGAAATGGGCTTATTTATTCCCTCCCCATATTTAATAAAGAAAACCTTTTTATTTTTCCTTCCATCTGCGTTTTTCATTTCCTCCGTCAAAGCTAACAACTTCGCAGCCAGTTCTTTATTTATGCTTGGTAATTTCGGCTTTCCTGGTTTACTGTTTGCAGTTGACAAGGAACGTTCGTCATCAATTTTCTCCATTATCTGTAAACATAAGAAAAATTAAGAAATGAAAATACAAACTCATATTTTGCAGAATTACACTACATTAAAATATCTGTCTGCGCCTTGTTAAGAACAACAAAGAATAGTGGAGGGAATTCGAAAGCATATATTCTCTATGACGAGATGAAATTATATGTACATTACCTTTCTCTGCTTATAATTTTCATATGCCAATGGTTGAATAAATGTCTTCGCTTTATTGTATAATCGGGTATCAATAAAATATCCATGCATATATGCACGCAGAAGGCTAGTTCCAATGAGGTGTAATAAACCGACTTCTTCAAGTTGCTCTTTCGTAACAAACTTGTAATCATCATACACTAAAAAAAGTTCACCAATAATAACTAATAAAAATTGATGAAAATGATGCTGTACAGAAAGTTTCAAAACAAAATACTCTGCAGATCTGCCACAAAAGCAAGTAAAAGAAAAAAAAAGAATTTCAATGTCAGAAATCACAAAAAAAAAAAAAAAAAAAAAAACATGAGGAGAGGTTACATGGAATGACAATTGTATATATACCTGTAGGCTGTTCCGTTTCTTCTAATTCTTCCGTGACTGTCTCAAGATATGAACACCATTTAGGAGCAGTACCAATAGCCGGAACAAAATATTGCAACATTTTAGGAGCTTCATTAGCAAAAAATAAAAGTCCTGAAAATTGTATGCATAAGAATTTTTTTGGTAAAACTATAGTGCAATAAAATCAGAAGAAGCTGCTATGGAGATTGGCAAAAACGGTGTATCTCTGTTAAAATTATTAGTTTACATCTATGTAAATAATTCACCAGAGTCAGGATATCGACAGAAGTCGCTTAGATTAGACCCGGGTTCGATTGCTGCAAACGGTTTGCCACCTGTTCCTTCCCATATTTTCAGTAAGCGCATATCCATACTTAACACAAGATTGTGCTCCGGCACAAAATCAATTTTGTTTACTGGCAAACCAGTTTGATGATCCTTGATGAGCAGAGGTTTGTTAGACCGGATATCAAATAGTAAAACCTACAAAGACGGTTCAAGGAAATAGAAACTAATTGATTATAACAGGAGGAAAGTAAATTCAAAAACTTGCATGGCCAGTACTCGTTCCGACTCCAAGATGAAGCGCATTTTTGAAGCACACCGAAGTCACTGTCGGCAGTTTGCTGAAAACATTTGATATTGCGTAGAAGTGGAAAGCAAACGAAAAGCATGAACTATTCATCATAATAAACAGTTAGTTAGTGCAGCTGAAAGTGCAGTTGTTAATGAAAATCGGAAAACTTGAACTTACCTGTTATTTGTTTGAAAACGTAAAGCACAGTCAAGAATGGCACATCGATCTGCATCTCTGTGGTCCCAAGCTTCAATTCGACCATCATTTGTCCCACAAATAAACAAATGATGATCTCTGTTGAACTCACAGCATGTCAGTGACGAAGAAGAAGTCATAAGAGGTGCCAAAAACTTTCCCTCTTCCAAATTTAGACGGAAAATTTCGCTGCTGCAATTATCATAGCTTTCATGAAGTTCAATATTATTAGTTTTTTATCTATAAACACCTCATTTCTATAAGAGTTTGTTTAGTTAATCATCGTAGATCCAACATTCTAAAAAAGCAAACGTGATTATAACCTACTGTTTAAAGAATCAGTGAAAACAAAAGGACATCAATAACTTTACTGGGAGGGAATGTAAGGGAAAAGTGTTTTTGATATATTGGCTTTCTTTTAAATCATGCGTAGAGAAGGCCTACATCGAACATTGATCTCTTAATTGGAGAAAACTAATGCAGTGAAGGAAAAGTGTAAATAAAATAAATTTTTCTGAAATTCAGTTAATAAATTTCATATTTAACTGAGAAATAATGTTACGGAATATAAAAAATGTTGTAGCCTATGGAATAACTTTTACTAATTCCCATAAAAGACATTAGAAAAAAAAATACTATTAAAAAAAATATTGACGGAAATATGTTTAACTTACCCATTCCCCACAATGTAGAGGTCACTTACTTCATGACAAAAAGCCATATCATGACCAAATTTCGGTATCCTCATCCTAAAATACCTTCCATAAGCCACATGTACCTCGACATATCGCTCTTCCTCCAACAGTACGAACTAAAAGAAAAGAACTGTTTTAACCCACCTACAATATCTGGTAATCATAGTTACTTTACGAAGCCTTTTCAATGAAATAAACTTCCACAAAAATGTTTTAACATTAAAAAAGTTAACATGATATCCATAGTACTGCCAAATTAAAATGTTAAAAAGGAACATCCAGCATATCATTATTACGAGATAATCCTGCTTTTTATTCCGCCACTTTATGGTCAACAAAATATCAAAAAATGTAGTCTACTTTGGAATAATCTTCACTAAGAACAGCCATTTTCACAACATCCGCGTCGAGACCGCGCGAAAACTTCAGCGACAGATCACTTACATCAAAACACTTAAGAAGAGGTCTGTAGGTACCTAAAAATATAAACGGCATGTTGACTAACAAGAAAAATATTGTTCTCAGTAGTTTAAGTTTCGTGTGCAACTGAAAAGTGGTAGTTGAACTCAACATTCCGCTATTCCTAAATAATAAGGTCACTTACACCATCAATATGTAAGAAGTAAATTGAAAGAACAATATTATAAAGACTGAATCGTCATACCCGTAGCAAATATATAGCGTCCATCAGGAGATACCGTGACAGTATTGCTGATGTCGGGCATGTCAAAATCTTGTATCAGTTGTATCCTTCTCCTCAGATCTGCAAAAAATTAGATGGCCAAACTTTGGTGGGCACTTTATATATGTGAAAACGCAAAAAGTTTACAAAGTTTTCCGGCATTCAAACCTATATCTTTTTGTTCCAGTTTTCGCCTTTTTCGATCTGTAATCCACTCTGGGATTGACTTGCCTGCGCTTAAATTATAGATCTTGACATCATTAGTAGAAAGAATTTGCATTTTGAACCAGTACCTAGAAATAAGACAAATATATTCCGTCAAAGGTATATGTGTATGTAACCATACTTGAAATGGAGCTAATTGGTACTGAGAGGTAGGTTATTCTCATGTATCTCACACTAAGTCTGGTCAGTTATTTAGGCCTCTTAGCAAAGATCCATTCTATGTATCACTGGGCGTAAAGCATGCTAAAAGCGCTTAGTTAGGCGAACATAAGGCTACACAAGGAAGGTAGTGTACACGAGTAAACGAAAATAACCAACACCAGCATGGACGACCCTCAAATTATCAACTGGAAAGTTTACGTGGAGTGAGTGATTTCAACATATCTTCTGAAAAATGTGTGACCCGAAGCATACGGATGGGACATTACGGGTAGTCAAGATTTTAAAGTTCCAAAAGAACGAATCTTTAAACCACCAAAATATAGGAAATGCAATAAACATATAAATATAAGAAGTGATAATCAGCTAAAATACTTCATTTGATCCTTACACCATATATAGATCACACTGTCGGTGAGGCTTGTGAAAGCTTTAATTTCAAATGAAGTATACATATACCAGTTAATCGTTGTTTCCGTCTTTGTGAAAGCAACATCAAAACAACATGATGGACTATCATTAAAGGCATATGCTGCAGTTTTCAAATAGTTGGTGGTGAAAGTGACCTTCTTATAAGTAAATTATATGAGATAATCGGCATTTTCAAGATCACTGACAGTTCTGGCGAAGTTCCTACATGCATCTTCTACTCAATCCTAATTTCTAAATCAGTAACTTTTAAATTAATTCGTATGCTTCAAGAACTTTTCATGCTTCTACTCATTCCGTTCTTCGGCGTTGAAGAATGCTGTTCTGTGTAATCACAGCATGCTGAAATGCTATAACAAATAAAGCCAAGTACTGACTGCTCTAAAATTTAGTATCCGAATGTATTAATAGGGAGAACACGATAAATGTGAAATAGATTAGTATTGTATTATTTTTACTTAGTATATGTTATTAAGAATGCAAACAGAAGTTAGTTTCCTGTGGCATCCATCGTGAAACGTAGGTATCTTTTTAACCAATTTGCTTAAGATGAAAATGTTGGGAATTGTGAAACGAAGCAAAAAGTTTAAGACTAAAATGATAGGTACTCTGTGTCGATTCCAGGTTAAGAATCAAGGGAAAAGGGAGGAGGAATGCAAAAGTATCATCGTAATACTGGGAAATTTCTGGAAGTAAGGCCGCCAAGAATACTACAAGTGTAAACCTGTAAGATACAGTAGGGAAAAGCTGACGTCCGCTTACTTAATCAGAAGCTTTTGCGTTTCAAATACTCTTGATCGATATTCAAATTTTTTTTTTAGACTGCACAAGCTATTTCAGATTACGCATCACCTTCCAGCTCATTATTTTGCAAGTGGAAGCTTTCCGCAGTTTGTTCATTCAGTTGCTTTGGATTTTCGAGAATTCTTGGGTAAATCATTGCTTTTGACAATATATTTTCATAAATCGAAGTCTCTTTAAAGCTTCTAAAGATGTTAAAATTTATTGAAGAGAGGCTTATTCTGACTTTTTTTTTATCATCCTCAAAAAGATTAGCATGCGAAAGACGGCTTTAATTTTTTTAATACAAAAAAGAAACCTCCATTTGATAAATTTTTAATATGAGAGTTAAGAACGCAACACAATGTATTATTTGTTTCTTGTTGAACCAAAAGCTGATTTAGAAAAGAAAAAAGGAAGTGGTATTTTCTGGCTTGGTTAAACACTACGGTGTATTGTTCTGTTATCTAATTTACCAATTTTTTCAAACATATTATCTCTCATGCTTAAGGTTCCTCATAATACATCAAGATAAGCGGGTCTGATGGCCAAAAAAAAAAAAAAAAAGATTTCGTTTTGCCGGTTATGTTCACTTCGAAGTTAGAATAACGTATTCTAATTAGCAATGAAAAATTTTGAGATAACACAAACAATACAAAGCTGGATATGGGAGAACTGATTCGTCGACTTATAGGAAAGAGTATTATAGAAATAATGAAGAACTTCAGTTTAAATTGTTTTAAATTATCAAGGTAAAGGACGTAGAACGATTAAGGTTAGCATATTCACAAAGGTTCAGGATGACAGCCCTGCAAGTTTTTTTTTTGCACTTTGGCCACTTACTCTTTAGATCATTCTTTCAGAAAAACTGAAAAAAGTAGATTCCGTCAAATCGTTGATAATGCAATTCTTTGGCCGAATTGCCAGCAATTATAATTTCCATTGATTGCAAAGTTGTAACTTTCTAAATTGCACATCGCTTCCTTTAAGTAAATTCAATAGTGGAAAATCACAGAAGAACATTAAACTCCGCTTGGTTCGAGTTCCTCATTATCATTTATAAGTTCAGTGGTGGAAATGATCCTTGTTTGTGTTTATTTTACAAAACATAATTTTCATCTTCATTGACTGCATCATATTCTGGACTCAGTAACCTGTCCTCAAATGTACTATGATGATGCGAATAGTTAATGCAGCACATAAGCGTGTCATGGACGTAGTGATTCGCCTTGCTCCATCGATTTCAACAGAAGCTGTAGGATTACACATGTTAGGTCCTAGACAGAAACATACTGTCGTCTTTGGCGGGATGCCAGAAATACTGGTGTTGATAAGTTTTTTGTGTATTGTTGGTATGTCCTGTTAGATTATGAGCGGGGAAAGGGTGCAGGGGCGGTTTTTCTGATGAATTACTGTCCTGGAGAACTGTGTTGCTTAAATAAACTGCGTTCCATGGTTCTGAAGTTTTAGACTTTATGAGTTTATTTTAATCTTTTACAATTTTATTTCAGTTCGGGATGTTTATCTTCAGATGGCGATTTTTGTTATATTTTGGTGGAATTGCAAACTACTATTGAGATTTTGACCACAATTTTCATATAAAATTTAGAATTAGAGGTCCGTGAGTAAATTGTATTGGAGAACGTATCCATGTCTGATACCTGCAAGGAAGAGGAAGCGCAGGTGGGAGAACATCATCATACAGAGGAGGAATGGGAAACTGGTGGGTCGTATTCTTTCTGATCTTAACTACTATTGTGTTTGTCAGTCAAAATATTCAACTTTATAATCTTTAGATAATAAGGATTCTTCGAGTAACAAACAAACGACGACTCGAGACTCAGGGATACCGCAGCAGGCTTTACAAACATCTGCGGACAATAAGTTAGTGTTTTTACAGTGTGGTGGATTCACGTGCTTCAAATCCTAACTTCTAATTCGAATGTTTTTACATGTTATAAAGCTTCCTTCTGATGTGATATGCATGAATTTCTTTAATATTCACAAAGTCCTTAATGATTCATTCTAACTCAAATATTTTTACATGTCGCTCGCTGTTTTCTTTTTCCGTTTACTGATAAGATTAAAATAGTCGGTCTGATTCTCAGTTTCGGTTTTTTCAAGTTATACACAGTAATAAATTAGTGATTTTCTTTATTACTATTTATTTATCCGAGGATTTTTTCTGTATCACTTTTTATTATAATTTTGTCCTCATGAATATTTGTCTTGTATTTTTTTTTCTCATATTCAATAGTCAGTGAAGATTATTCTTAATTTGCGCCGCCATTTAGCGCTATAAAGGTTTATATAACATTAAAATCTATAAAAATTTGATTGATCACTCTTTCAGGAATATAAGTGGAGACGGGGATGGTTTTTTACTAAAAAAAATTATTGTTGACGACGAACGCCATTCAAGAGAAAGCGTTAGTATTGTTGAAGATGCAGTTATTGGTTTATCATATCAGGTGGGAATGCAGCTATTTGAGTGCTATAAATAAAAGCCCATGAATTATAACAGTAATTATGAATAACAAGGTTTTGTTAGTTAAAAGATATTTCATTCCAGTGAATAGACTTATTGCTGTATTATTTTTTGATTTACATTTTGTGCTACATGAGTGATTCGAGCGGAACAACTGTGTTGTCCCGGTCGTTATCAGTCGATAGGATGAATTAAAAATAAAGACTGAATAAATATGTTCGATATGAAATTGAACACTAGGGACATATTGTAATATCGTTGTTGGTTTCGTATTCGTATTTGTGAAAAGTTTTTTATTTTTATTGAAATTCTTATTAGTCCATTACAAATAACAGTCTATAGAAAGATGATTATCTAAAGCATACAAGCAGGATCATAATTATGGAAGACGATCTGGAAATGCACAGAAAAATGATGGGGAAAATGGCGAGAAATTTCCTATCATTGGTGGACTTGCTTCTTATATCGGTATATATTTTTTTTTTATATTTGTCACGGACTTCTCAGGCAGTAGAAGTAATTAATTTCGCCTGTTAACACTGTGTAGTTGATTATGTTTCACTGATGACACTTCATTTAGGAAATGAAATCAGTAAAGTCCCTGCGGGTCATCACTTTCGTGATACAAACTTGGGACATTTCTCAAGGTAAAGCATTTTCATTATTTTTTCGAAGTCAGTAAATTAGATTTTAGTTTCATGTAGAGATCGTGCTTTGGTTTAAAAGTTTTTTGAATAGATTTGTTCATTAATAATGAACCGTCCTTCCTTATTTGTACTGGTCTGATACTGATTAATATGAACTGTATCATTCATTTAGATCGCACAACAGTGGGACGCATTATCGAAAGATTTCGGGGATGGATTCACGTACATCTTGTAGAATCTATTCTGGTGGCATGGGTGGATGTCGAACGAGTCAAATGCGAAGGCAAGTTTTGCAAATGGAGAATATGAGAGATTCTTGTCTTTCCACTAATTTCATTTTTTAATTATTACTTTTTATTGTCCTTACATAATAAGTAAATTACTCCTTTAATTAACACAAAAAGTACAGATACTTTGATTCTATTTCTTTAGTGTTGTCTCTCTCAGTGATTTGATTATTTCCGTTAAGGTTACCAGCTTCTACTGAACAGATATTTCCCCGACAAACCTCGATCATTGCTACTCAGAATTACCGAATACATCGTCGAGGTAGGTTTTCGTTTTATGGGTTGTTCAAAAACCTATATTCTTGGAATTAAAGTTTGCTAGAAAGTGTTTTGAAATAAATGTCGTTATTCGAACTTCTGAAGATATCTGTTAATTGTAATTAGGAGGCCAATAACATTTTTCATTTCAACTTTTTACTATCCCTGTGTATTTGATGTTTCGTAATCTTTATGACAGTATGGATATTTTAGTCGTAAAACAATGTTTGATAGATGACGTGTTTTTATGTGTTGTGCAAATTAAAATATTTTATATAATTTGAGTCGAAAATTGTCGCGTGCGGTATTTTTGAAGTTTAGGAGTAACTCAAATATCGGCTAATAGTCATAGTGATATATTGTTCCGCTCACGTCACTTTGTCAGTTCCGGTGGAACATTTGCAACATCAGCATCGTCGAACAAAAGAGTTCTTCGACCAGCGTAAGTAGCTGGAATTGCATTCTTTTCGTTTTACAATTTTTTTTTTTTTTCAGTTTGGGGAATACTGATAATAAATTTCATAATTTAATCTTGCACAACATTCGAAAGTCAATAAACAACACTAGTCATATGTTCAGACATCCTCCAAATCCTGTGTTATCAACTTGCCATCAAAGCATACGTCAGATAATTCCTGCTAGTAAATCAGTTTCGGCAACAATGCCTGCTTATGCAATGGCAGTTAATGCAACAGGTGCAGATTCTGAAACACATGCCACGGACATGAGTGTCGGTTTGGCGCCGTTCCTCGTACCATCTCGACGGCCTCGTCCCGTTGTCCGGAACCGAGGTGATATTTTTAGCTAGAGAAATTAATTTTTATGGGGGCCGAATTATAATCGCATGAATATATTTTGAGCCTGGTTTTTTACTCGTCCAGAGGGTTAGTTTTTCTTGGAAATCGAAACGTTTTGTTCAGTTCGTTTGGTGCTATGTTAATACGATGTGCTTCTAAATGAATGTAAACACAGAATTTAAACGGATTTATTATAGCGCGAGCATCAAGTCAACCAGATAAAGGAACAGAGCTGTTAATACAAAAACTTGTTGCCAGTGATCAGCAGGTTAACTTGACACTGATATTTGGATTTCTTCCTGATATAGTATTAGTGTTTTATGTGAATTCTACTGACCGTAATAATGAATAGCGTATACTGACTAAAGTTATTCAGGCAGACAATGCTCTTCACGCTGAAAAGCAGCCGTCTAACGTTTTTACTGCTTCTGGACAACATCTTCCGAAAAATGTGATCCGTAGCAGTGGAATTGTCAAGCAGCAGTATATTATGGCAGAGCCTCTTGAACCTTGTCATGTCCCTCGTCTTCAGCATTCTGCTCAGCAGGTTGAATTTATACTTTATTTTTCGAGTTTTTTTTTTTTTTTTTTTTTTTTTTTTTTTTTGCAAAATCCCCAAAAATCCTACAAATACAGGAAATTTTGTTGTATATGAAGTTTCATGAGCTCCCGAAATCCTTCCGTTGCTTTAACATTTTTATGCATGTCTGTTAATTGCTTAGCACTGGTGCGAGGAAAGATGTCGCATTGCAGAACCTAGTTTGTCGTTGATAATTTTCTGTACAAAATGTTGCATATTCGCTAATGTTATCAAAACTATTTTAAAAGTGTTCCATAATGAGTATTTTGCCTCCCAAGTGTGCTTTAGAGATGATGTTAGTTTTTATGCTCAGCTGTTTAGTAATTACTTAATGCGGGACTGAACTCTTACTGTTTGTAGCGTGCAGTTCCAAATGATTTGGTAATAAGTATGGTTGTGGATGAAAAATTATCACCGGAAAGTCTTCATAATTCAGCAGTTCATTGTAAAGAAGAAGAGCAGAAAGCATTTTCACAGGTAGTTGTACAATTAGCGTGTCAAACCTTCTAGTTTAACGACAACATATTAATTATTGTGGGTGTAACATTTGTATGTTCTGTCCTACTTATCTATGACTGTTGTAATCCTTCCTGCTTTATAATTTCTTCTACATAAAGTCATAAGTTGTTTAAACGACGAATCTAAAAAATCCAGTGTGTTGTCGAACTAAATTTCTTGTTTGGGAAGGGATTTCATAGTTTCACATTATAGATTAAATAAATTATTTTACTATACTGTTTTCGAGTTAGTCTCCTGTATTATGTCTGTAAGCTTAATTTTTCGGGACTTTTCAACACAATTTAGATTGGAAAAGCTGACCTTTTTTCAGAGCCATCTTTCTAGTGATTCTCGTGAATCGATTTATGTCAATAGCGATAGCGGAATGCATGATCTTCAACAAACCGCTCAAACTTCTACAGTCCTTTCTCATCGTTTGCAGCAAGACATCGGAAAATATGTTGAGGAGCATTATCGAAAGTCACAGAAGGTTTTTTTTTTTTTTTTTCTTTTTTTGGAGTTGCATAAATTTCAGAAGCATTAGGTTGTTACATCTTGTTTCGTATAGGATTCATTCGTCGCTAATTCTCGTCATCTTTTTACTCGACAACTCGATGAGCTCCAAATACGACAGGTTTCGATTTTTTTTTTCTTCACAAGATGATTTATTTGACTTTCGAAACTTGGATTATTTTATCATTTATAGTCCAGACTCTGTCATTCCGAAACCTCTGCATCCGACAGCACCAAGAAAATGAAAGAAATGGATCGCTTCGGTCAGCAGTCTGTAATAAATGTTTCAGTAAGCATTCTCTCTAAAGGATTATAAAGATCTTTACGGCTATAAGATTACTGAATAAAATGATTTGAAATTTATATTTTCATTGGTTCAAAATCTTTTTGCGGAACATAAGCGTTTTCATCCTTTAGGACAACTCGAGCTATCTTAATTGGGAAAATACATTGTTTGTGTTATCTACATCTATCAAAATTCACGATGTTGTTCTTCATTTAAATTCATTAATTCTGCAATAGTTTTTCCTTATGTTGCTCATCTGTTCGTTGTAAAATGCAGGGTTTTACTCTCTATCGACAGAAATCAGTATCACCGGGACATGTCGCATTTAATCAAAATCGTGGGTTTGATTCACGGCATTCAACATCGGTTGAGATAGAGACGCCCGTGTTGCCATCCAAAAACAGAACAGAAAGTGATGATATCCAAACAGCATCTGACGGTGAAGGTATTTAATTTTTTGAGTTTAGCACGTTGTCAGAATTTTATTTTTTGAACTCAGAGGAACCAGCGATGTACGCATTGTGATAGGCGGTGAATCTGAAACCGTGATTTGTTGATTTAGTTTGTTTTTTCAGTTACTTTGAAAAGATTTGATCATGGAACTCCCTCAGTTGAAGATATCTTGAGTGGAGAAGGACCTGTATTTAACGAAGTATGTAATGAGGTTGTGGAGCAGCGTATTTCTGTTGCAACGCGTTCATCAATTAGCGGGGCTGAGGAGGAGACGAGTGTGAATGGTGTGGTTAAACTGATTGCTTTTTACACTTGATGAGTTTTTTATAGTTATGAAGTCTAAATATTAATAATGTAAACTCTTCGGTTAGATGTTGTGTTTCGTTTACTGATTTTACAGATAATGTTGATGAAAAAGAAACAGAAGATGAAGGTTTTCGAACCACCATAGTAACCACGGGTGTAGATTCATCATCAAACAGCAACAGTGAAGACGACTGGGAAGAGGAATACACTACACGTTGTTACTGTGGTTTGAATCATAACGATGAATTCATGATACAGTGTGATGTGTGCAAGTAACTTTTATAAAAAATCTGCTTTGATTATCTGTGATTTCGAAAACGAAGTTTTTCAAATTATATTTTTAACCAATTTCTCCTATTTCTGAAAAAAATCTATGATTATATACATATAACGAATGATAGATTGCTAGTCTAAAATCTGGGAAGTAAGGCATTACAAAAACTTGATGTTTCAGTGTATGGCAACACGGCAAATGTGTGGGTATTGATCGACGTCGAGTACCAGATACTTATCAGTGTGAAGAATGCAATCCACGTTTGTTGAAACTTAGCAAAACTCAGGCACGGGAGATGCAGTTAAAAATACTTGCTCGATATCGCAAAGAAAAGGAAAAAAAACGTCGTCAAAGAGCTAAAGGGCGCTTTAAAAAGAGAATTCAGGAAAAATCTGTGGGTTTGGGATGCATTATTAGTTTTAACACTGATGAAGTTATAATTTGTAATAAAATATACACAGTTGTAGTTACTTGTCCAAGTGCATATAAGGTTGAACGGAATGTTGGAAGTTATGGGTCTGAAATATAAAATGAACTAAGGTTTTGGTTAGGCTAAGGTTTGTGAAGTACAACTCGGTTTATAAAAATTTGTATCATCCATAGGATTCTTAGGAAGGAAAGAAGAAAAGACAAGTAAAAAAGAATTCATCGAAAGATTATATCGAATGTTTCAAATATGAATATACGAGATCTGTCATGGCATTTTCACGCAGACACGAAGATACGGTAGAACTTATCATTTTCTCAGTTGGTATATTTCTGTTTTTAAAGTAGTGTTAACATCTTTGTTTCGTGAAATTTGGTTGAATATTTTTGTTGAAATGAGTCATTGTGAAGCTTCAGGGTGATCCTGCATTACTGGAAGCGTTGCGAAATGGTGAGGGTGTAAGTGTTATGTATGTTACACAGTTGTCTATGGGATTGGTTTCGACACGGCTATACCATGCTGATGAGCCGGTAATATATATTTGTGGGCGTGTATCGCTTCCCTGTGAATGTCATGGTCGAGAAGAGCCGGGAGTAGTCATACCTTTTGTCACGTTGTATAGGTTAGATTATTCTATCTTGTACAGTCGTATTTAAAGTTATTGATAATTTGTATGTTCGATGATGAGGTCACGAAAGGTAGGTCAGTTACTAGTCTGATATAGTTTCCGGTAGAAATGTCAGTGAGCTGAACGAGAATTAGAAATGATACAAATGTAGTTTTTTGGGTTTTTTTTTTCTTTTTTTTTTCTTTTTCCATTATATGTGTAGTAGCTGGTTAAATCTGAAAATTTTATGCATTATCCACTTTTAGTCACCTAGTAGTTGAGGAAAGCAAAGATCCTATACCCATTTGTATTGACGCTCGTCGCTTCGGTTCGAAAGCTCGGTTTGCTCGTGCATCTTGCCGACCAAATATCAAAATGCAACATTTCTTTTTGAACGGCAAATTGCATATTATCGGTATTGCTGTTGGGAATATCGAACGTGGTGAAGAGGTTGTCACTTATGATCTTTAGTTATCAATCTTTGATTTCATTTTCAAGTAGTTTTTACTTTTTTCAAGGGATAAAATGATGTGCTATTTTGCATAAATTTTTTTACATAAACTGTGGGGTGGAAATACTTCGGACAAAGAAAATCGGATCTTGAATTATTTCGGGTGACATTTACGTTGATAGGTGTTGGCTATGCGTTTTGGCTATTATATTTGGTTTGGTTTAGATCACTGTTCCATTTGATGACGATTACTATTTGTCAAAGACGAAGCTAATTTGCGCTTGTTCAGCAGACGACGAGCATGATGGCAATGTGGATTGTTTAGTCCGCAACTTTAATCGAATGCTTGAACAAAAACAAAATTCAATTAGCGATAAGGTTGGTGCATTAAGTAACAGAAGAAATATTTAAAAATTTTCGTTGTTTGCCCTTTCAGAGCTATAGGCTATATCGTTTAAAAATCAGGCGCTTCACAAAGTGCTTCAGTGTTTCACTACAGTGTTGTTTAATCACTTTAATTTCAATTTAATTACGCCAGTGCTGCTTATCAACAAGAATTTTTGGTTCCTTTGTCACTGATTTTTCTTGGTCATTAGATTTGATTCATTGCTGTGCAGTTCTACACTTGTTTTATAAGCTATGAATAATGCTCGCGAAATCTGGCACTTTAGTTTCTGAGTATTGTTTTATTCGTGATTAATCGGATTGCGCATGAAATTGAATTCTGCAGGCTTTAAACACAGCTTCGAATCCAATGATAAATTTTGATACTACCTCAGAAGATCATACCGAAAAGCAATATGTGGATGTAGAGGTCGGAAAAGTTCGGGCACTTATGAAGTCTAGAAATACTACAAGTGGATCTCGATATTCTTCAGTAACATTTTTATCCAGAGTGACTGCATCTGATTATATTGGTGAAGTTAATACAATGGTCGAAACAGCAACGGCTGTAACACCTACTACAGAAGATGAGAATACAATCAATAAGGATGTATTACCAGAGAGCTCTGTAGAAATGTGCGTCCTTTGCTAATGAGCTTTTTAAAAACATTATTTCATAAGTTGCTGGAGGATGCTATGTGAATGATTCATATGTCAGAAATGTAGACTGAATATGAGTCTATTTGTTGAATGATGGATAATTATGAGAACCAATTATACTGATTTTCTTTACAGACAGCTCCATACTCGAACTACTGTAAATGGTTCTTCACGAAAAGCTCGAAAAAAGCGACCAAAGATATCCAGCACTACATTATACAGGAGAAAAGGTGGCATCAAATTACGCTGTCGTGGAGCAGCTAATTATAGAACTATGGAAATACGACAAGAAGCATACACAAATGAGTGCGAAAATTCTGTTATTATACCAAAACCGAGCAAAATTATTTTACAATCATAAATTGATTTTTGAATGCAAATTCATTTTGTTAAATTTAACTTATTGTTTTTTTTTTAATGAAAGTTTTTATTCCAGTGAAAGTATTGGTGTCAGCAAGGGCATGGCGAATGTCGACAACTCACTAAAAAAAGAAACTTGCTTATTTAGTGACAAAACGAGTTTGAAAGTAGAGGTATTTCTCTTATTTTGATTGTACAATCTTGTTAAGAATGTTTGAAGTTCCTTAAAGACAATTGATGCAATTATTTTCCAGGAACAGTATAAGGAAAAGCGGCAAGTTGGATTAAGTAAAGAGTACGAAGGACAGTTCATGGAATCGGGTAAATTTATCACGGAAAAATTGCGAGCACATGCAGATGCTGAAGAAGGGATTGAAAATGTGCAAAAATCAAGTGCAGTAGAGGCAGGACCGGTTGTTGCGAAGAATGTTGGGAGACCCAGAAAGAAACGGCGATCTATTAGTGCAAGAGTTGCTGATGTAGTTAATTGGGCAGGGGAAACTGATGGAAATGAAGACCTGGTTGTTTTGGATAGTTCAGCAATAAAGATGCATAGTAAAAGAAGCGATTTGCTGGAGAAAATTGAACGTGTAAATTATATGCTTCCCGAGGAGCGCAATAAAGTGATGGCAAGTTTTTATGGCGGATGATATAGTTTGTGGTTTATGTACGCTGTTGATTCTTTAGTGTGTTGAACTTGTTCAAAAGTTTTCGTCTTATTTCTTTAATTATTCCAGTCTCGAGAAGAACGCAAAGTGTTACAAGAGCTTGCGCTGTTTGAACGCATGCAGCAGCGTGAGGCAAGGCGTCAGCAACATGTAGTCTCTGCACGCGGATCTGGAAATACCGGAGGCACGCGCTGTAGTGCTTCATCCGCTAATAACCCATTGCTGGATTCTGCAAAAGTTGCGAAGGTTACGGATAGTGCAAATGATGGGAGCAACTCAAGAAGCAGACAGCGGTACCAGTGAGTTTTGTATGAAATTGGTGCTTGTATTATTCAGTGTCCAAAGTGGTTGTTTGATTGGAAAGTTCATTTAGGAGTAGCACAAAAAAGGCTAAAAATGCTAAAGGCCGACGTCGTGTAGCAAGCTCTGAATGCTCTTCAACGGCAGCGCTGAAACGAAGTCGTACGATGAGCGAAGGTGCAAAATGGCGAGAGAAGTCTGAAGCAGAGCAAGGTTTGTTTACTTCATTATTTAATCCGATATTATGTGTTGACCAGAATTACATACTAATAGCTGTATTGACTTACACTGTTGTAGTTAAGCTGTCAACTCCTGATGAGATAAAACCGTTAATTTTGCAGTTATTATTGGCGTGTTTTTAACAGCTATTAAGAGAAATGATCGTCGTGATGTCTCGCATATGGCACTTTTTTTTATTGATTTGTTTTTATACGCCGTGTTTCACTTCAGGTTTAAACAATAATTTGGTTAGAAAGGCAATCTCTTTTTCCCCTCGTGCTCAAAACTTCATCACTGAACTAAACTCAGAATCCAAAATGAACGAAAGCGTGGAAGGTATGAAAATATGCTCATGTTAGACTTTTTTTTTTTCTTAAGATATATTTTTAATCATAAAAAATCTTAAGAGCTTGTTTTTACCAGTTTCCTCCTTTGTCAACTAGTTTATATGATGCGAGCAATGTTTTTAAAATTTGTCATATGAATTTCAGAAGACCGTATTTCCAATGACTGCAATATATAGTAGGTTCATTTAAAAGAAAAGAAAAGTTTTCTTGCTGTTTTAAATTTTATTTTTGCTACTTTAGTGGAAATTAGAGCATCAGAAGCAAGGGATAAGCTTTTGCTTAGCATGAGACATACAAATTGGCTTTTGCAAGTTTGGAATCACATGAGAATGTCTTGCATTTCAAACACAGATGTGATTGGAATGGTAGAAAGGCGAGAATTGGATGTGTCCACTAATAATACCACTGTGAGTTGCAAAAGTTCTTTGCTATGTGCAAAGCGAGAAATTCAAAACGCAGATCCCATTCAGGACAGCGGCATGGCTACTTGCTTTACCAATGAGAAGCATATAAAATACGAGGTCAGCATTTTGTTATAACTTCACTCCTTTTTTTAAAATTTCATAAGGAATGATTTTTTAGGTAGAGCCACTGCCGAAAAGAAGACGTGAAAGTCATGGTATAAATAACAAAAGTGATTCAGATGTGCCAGGAAAAGAATTATACGGCTCAAAGCTCGACTGTACTGATTCGTCGTTTGTTCTTAAACAAGGCAAATTATTTGTGTACTTCAATGTACAAAAATTGGTTTCCGCATTTCATTGGTTTCCATGGTAGCAGGTTTAGCATTGCAATTGTTTGGTGGAATTATGAGTCTTAGCATAATTCTATTTTTGTTTTTTTTCTTATTTTGAAGATATCTGTTCGATTTATTACAGAACAAATTCGTGCTTTGTTCCGTAAGATGGTTGAAATTGAGGCCACTTGTAAACCATCGGATTTTTCGTTGGATTTCCAAAAGTTGAAGGTAGTTCAGCTCCCTTTAACTTCTTTGCATTCTGAATGTGGCAAAAATCAAATGAAGGTTGCTGAAGCTCCTAAGAAGAAGATGTCACTGGATGAATATAAAAGAAGGAAGAGCTCAAAAACTACTGCCGATTCAGAGAAGTAAATTCTTTTACAGTAAGAAATAATAAACTTTGAACGGTTAACAACTATTAGTTATAGCGATTGTTTTTCAAAGGAATAAGTTTTTCAATTGTCTTTGTATGTGTACGAATCACTCTTTACTACTTTCACCGACTGTGTTTGTACATTTTTTTTGTTTTATTTTTAAATGCTGGGAAGTATAAATTATCTTCTATTAGACATGATATCTCTGTCATTATCTCCTATACGCCCAACCTTGCGCTCTTGTATGTTCAGTGTTTCTCAAGACCTGGGTATTTTTTTTTTCTGTTAGCTTTTTTTCCACCGATTGAACTTACATATCGATTTTTGTTGTAGTGAGGTGTTAAAGGGTTTTCCGTGCACATAAGTTAATGCAAATAATTCTACAGAACACCTGCAATTGCTATCGAAAAGACAACAGAAGACAATGAGTATAAACAGATGCCATTATCCCGTTCTTTCATTCCATTAATGACTGCTAGTGGTATTGGAAAACGCACTTCACTTCGTCTTGGTGCTCTTCCTGATCCTGTACAGTTACGCGCAACTCCAACGCTTTCAATTGATGACCTGAAACGTCGCATTTATCGACGAACGACATCTTCAAATACAGTAACCTCTAATCCTGATGGTTTGTCACTTTCTTCCTTAGTGCGGAAGAATGCTTCGCATACCTCACCAGGACAGTGCTTTGAGGTGAGTAATACTTTAGAATAAGGCATCCTGCATTCGAAATTAATACAGAAAAATGGCATTTGTACTCTGTGAATTGAATAATACTTTGTCTTATTAACTATTCAACACATTCTGTCTACTTTTTCTATATTTTTCTTTAACTGTTATTTCAATTAAAAATGGGTCATCGCTCATCGTTAAAGGATGTGGAATTTTGTTTTGAAAAATTCACTTATTCCTGAAAATGTCATTTTTTAGACAAACTGGGAATTCAGAGTCTAAATCTGTTCGTGAAGGCATGAAAGAAAATTACTGGATTCCCGTTTTCTGGAGATTTTTTGCAGTTTCCCAGACTTGTTTAAAGTGACTGCATCTGACATTTTTTTTGTGTTTATAAAACCGTTGCTTATTGACCTTGCTTTGATACATCTGGAGTTGCTGTCTTACTGATATAGAAACTGTTTGTTTTTCGTGTTATCATCGTCTTTGTTCTTTTTGCTACTAGACCTTGATTTTTCTACAACTTCTTCCTCTACTTCTATAATGGTAGTCAAAACATGGAATGCTTTATTTTAAAAATTTGAATTAAGTGTTATGGCAAAAAATATCTCTTTCTGGCAATTCCGAGCACTCTGGTACAGCCCCATATCACTTTTCTTTAAGTAATTTGAATCCCAAGATGCTCACACATTTATTTATATATTTTATAATATGCTGGACTCATTTTTCATAATATTTTGTCAAAATTGGTCCACTTTCGTTCTGAAGATGGGCGGATTTTGACGTTTTAATTTATGAAAATTCCAGGAAGGACCAGTTTCATATACATCCTCGTTTTCATCAACATGGCGAAGAGAACTGCCGTCAACCGTAGCTTCCAATAAAGACAAGAGACTCCCACTCGAAGAGCGATTACGCCTAGTACTGGGCTGTGGTGAAAGGTACGCTGGTAAGTACAGTTCATCTGTATCTCCACCAGCTGCTCCTCCACCACCTCCACCGCCTCCTCCTCCTCTTCCTATCAAGAATTCAGGTCAGTGCTAAATTTAAGAGTTGCGCGCTTGTAAAAGATTCATTTAATTGTACCGTGACTTAACGTGTTTGATGTTTTTCTTTTTTCGTTTCTCATCGTACGCTTGTGTTTTCCAGAGATACCAAAATTGAGATGCGACCTCTCTGCTGATGTTCATTCAGATATTCCTCTACCGCCACCACCACCGATGCCTACTCCATCTTGCAGTCAACCTGATCAATGTTCATGTGAAGTGCATGCTTTTGGACCCCGTAGAGGCTGAAATTTATAACAGCTGTAAGTCATCCATGTTAGGGTAACGTTTGTGATTATAGGCAGCTTCTGCTTACAATCGGATTCTAGGTATTTAATTGTTGATTTGGAAACTGTCATATATGAATCTTCCTTTTTTCAGCAATTTGATGTGGTATCACCGGGTTATCAACTGTGTTTTTTGAATATACGCTCACATATATAGTTTCTACCTCGTCGACACAATTGGTACACTTGTTCTGTTTTTCCGGTTTATGTAATCATTGATATCAAAGTGCTAACAGTTTCATTGTTCGAAATGGATAATTCGTTAAAATGTACTGAAGTGTCCGAATCGCTTTTTTGATAACTTCATTTCGCCGACTTCGTTACCAATTTTAAGGGTGAAAAAAAGCATTTATTATATCATCCATCTGTGTTCATCATCTTGTTATCACTCTTTTAAATATAATGAATTAGTTTTAATGTATTCGTCGGCTTATATCAGATCATTATTTCTCAGCTATGACTAATGTTTGGTCAGTTGCATTTCTGTGTATACTTTTTTTTTCCTCTGCTTCATTTGTGCATTGGCATCGAGTACTTGTTTCTACTCAGGTACCTAGAAAGGCTTTGTAAACTGTAGTTATTGTTATGTTCAGTGGCTACTGCTATTTTCATTTGTCATCAGTGCGGTATGGATGAACCCTTCTATATTTTATGGGTGAATTGCAAATTTCAAGTCTATAATATTTCAACTATTGATCTCTTTATGCTTTTTTTGACGTACAAATTCTTGTTCCCTTTTTCCTTACAATTTTGTTTTGATGTTCCCTCCTCTCTCGTTTTTTGAAGTTGTAATCATCTGTAAGGAATTGATGGGTCTGTTTTGTCTCAGTTTTTTCTTGACTTGCAGTCATATTTGAATAATCAGTATTGTATTGCATTTGCATTACAAGCACAGCCCTTACTCACTGCTATATTAGACTTCCATTTTCCTATTATTTCAGTTCTATAGCTGTGAATACCATTTATTGTTTAAGCGAATTAAATAATATGTTATTTGTTTATCATTAATAATATGTTATTTGTTTATCATTTGTTGTAATTAAGAAAATTGTTTTTATTGAAGTTCTTTTTATTGTGGAATGTGAAAATGTATCATATAATGTTTGTGTATCATATAATGTTTGTTTTGTAATCATAGATCATCTCGTCTTCCTTTTGTTGTAATACATTATGCGTTGTATATAGAGAAGTTTTGTTCATTCTGAGTGAACCGTGGTTGCTAACACGTCATTGAGATTTTCAACTTTTTAAGACAGAATGAGATAAATGAGCAAAAGTAGAACCGTGAATTTTGTTGGAAAATCAGTGTTCAAAATATTTCACTAATCTCCAGCTTGGTCTGTATAATATTGGGGAGTGTATAATTTAATTTTCATTGCTCAGTACTTTGTGCGGTCTTATAATGTCTCCAGTTTTTTAGACATGAACCGCTCTAAAAATAATGTGGGGAGCGCCGTATAGTGTCGCTGATTAAGTCTTTAAAATTCAGTATCTCATAATTTTGCGATTCCTTTTGTATGTCGTCAGAATCACATGGTTTCTTTGGCTGTTTTCCATACTTATTTACATATTGCAAAGGGATTAACGACTATAGCAAAATTATGTTTACACTGTAGATGGCCAATTATGTGCTGCATTTTTTTTTCCTTTGCCTTCCTCCCCGTATGCTGATGCACTACATAAAAGATGACAGTGGCGTGAAGTACAAAATTATAGGGTTCTGATGTCGTATAATAAACTAAATGATTTAATGGATCCACGAAGAATATTTGTTTCGCCTGAAATAGGTGTATTTCTCCTTAACTTTTTGGTGCAAAGGAAATATCTTTTAATTTATCAGTTGCTGGTTTGTCTTAGTTATTTATTTTGTCTTAGTACATATTAAGCCTTAAATACACAGTGTATTCTCATGGTTGGTATTTTCTCTTTTCCGAGTAGTTATTTATTCTGGAAACTAGAGAATCTGCAGTTTGCAGAAATAATAAGTGAGGGTTTACGTATCATTTTGAAATAGTCCAAACTAAAACCAATAGCTTGGCTTTAGTTGGTGTTAATATATGCAGAGAAGGTGTACGGAGATTGGCCTGTCATATGGATTGTAATTCCGTTTAGGATATTTTGATGGATTACTAAAGGATTCGTCGTGAGTGTGCTGGATTAGTCCGCTTGAAACTTTACTTAAGGGATTTGTTTTCTCAAAGCTGGTCATCAACTAATATCAAGATCTTTGCACTTCCTGTTCACTAGGCTGGAATTGATTGCCGTGCATAAGAAATGCAACTTGTGTTTATCAAAACTTCATAAGAAAAGCAAAAGGATAAGTGTAGTGACGATGCTACCGTAGCGGTTTCCCTATACTTAACCCAGATGAGCATTGACCATCTTTATCTATCTACTGCTTGCCAAGTACTATATCATTCTGATGCTTCCTTCTTTGTCCTTTTCTACATTCTACATATTTCTTAAATCAGGACACATATTTTTATCTATTTTCAATACGTCGTCATTTGCGGTGCCATTCAAAACAAACGAGTAGATAAAAAAAAGAAGCACAACGAGGATGTTAGGCGACTTCGATTTTTGGTATTTTTTTCAACTAGAGCTAAAAAGAAAAGAAGGGGAGCGAATTTAAGCTAACTTTTCGTGTGTTTCTTCTCTAAGGCCTTTTTCTGCACATCAGCAATCGCAGAGAATTCACCCTTAAATGCAAATTATAAACAGATTTGGGTCTTATGAGTTGACTCCCAGCAGCAGCAGTCAGATGTTTTATTTTATGTTTGATGCTGGAAAATCGATGCATTTCTAATTTAGGTGGTGCGTATCAGAAATGTTCTTTTAAGAGGATTTCTGCTTCAATGTCTACTTTGGCTTCACTGGTAGAATACTGTGTAAATTGCAGGGTAAGTAAGATAGAGACTACAAAAGAATTAATTGCTCAAGAAAGCTCTCTTTTTGCTTTAGGATGTCCATGCTTTTATTACCAACATGATATTATGCTACTTTTTGCGCACCTTCTATCTTATTATCTGTCATTTGTTAAGTGGTGCCTGCAGTGATTTTTTAACGCACCAAACAATGCGTTTCTTCCATACCGTTCGCAATGATTTCCTTATATATGGTATAACTCAGGTAATTTATGCGTTTTAACTGATCCAGCAAATAAATTTCAATATTGAGATGGTAACTGGTGATTTTCATTTAGTCTGTTATAAGTTTCAAAGAATGTTCCAAATCGGCTGTTTTTAATTGGTGAAATTGAGCAGACCAGAAAATTTTTACTAAATTAATTGTTCCTTTCTTAATTGCTGCATATCTTTGGAATTGGACAAAACGACAAATTAAGAAATTAAGATATCGATTACAGGACTGTCAGTTATACTTCGTCGAACATATGAATTATATGCTGATCAAATCACTAAAAGTTGATCGAAGTAATACATATTGCTATCCAAATTTAGTTAAACTTCATCTTCGACAAGGAATTAAGCAAATCTCACTTATTCTGATAATAAAGCAAGCCATGAATTGTATTTGCACGTTGCCAATTGAAATGCCATCGCTTGAAAGTGTCAGTAACGGACAAGTTTTCAGGTTAATTTCGAGTTTCTTTCTGTATTCATACATTATGTAATGATCTTTAAAGGTCACTAAGAATTATTTTGATAAGGTTCAGCATTTGAAATAATTGAATTTTGGTGTTCACAATTTAGACTTATTGCCAAGTGGAGTTCTTTGAGTAATTGGGAAGACACAAACTAAAAAATGCATCTTGTGGAAATATGATGAGACTAATTTTCCTTATCGAAAGCTTTTCAGTCGCATTATTTATGTATAGATCGGATTCTGTAAGCTTTAGATGTTTACCTCTTTGCTCCCTTTACTTACTATCATTTCTATAAACATATATATATATCAAAGATCTGCTATTAACAATAGCGTAGTTGGAGTTGTTTGGTCGTACGTTTAGTTTAAAATATATCGAGACATGTTCCAATAGAATAATGAGTCGATAAAAATCCATGGGATGCAATTAGTTGTAATTGCAGTTACTCAATATTTACTTCATTACCATATGCTGCCTGTTCACATCTTAGAGATAATAGTTTTATTCTTGAGCCTGATTTATCCTTCATGGACACGACATTTTCTGATATTATTTACTTTATTAATGCCAAATCAGTTGGCTCTCAGTGGAATATACAACAATTTTGGGTTTGTTTTTCAGTTTATCTCAAATTCTCGTTTTTGATATATAATTACTTTTTTTAAAATATATCGAGACATGTTCCAATAGAATGATGAGTCGATAAAAATCCATGGGATGCAATTAGTTGTAATTGCAGTTACTCAATATTTACTTCATTACCATATGCTGCCTGTTCACATCTTAGAGATAATAGTTTTATTCTTGAGCCTGATTTGAAATTCAACCCGGCTATTGTGCTAATTCTTGTACTGAAGAACTTTGGAATAAAAATTTACGGAAATTTTTTTCCTGAATGTCAAAAAAGTCCTGGGAAAATTATTTCCAGATAAATAAGCATGGTAACTTGGTGGCAATGGAAAAATTTGTTGTTTATCGCTCCCAAAAAGGTTTCTGCTTTGATTGTTTTCGGTTCGTACCAAAAATCCGAAATAAAATTATGTTGTAACTACGTGTTATGTTATTTCGGACAAATTTTTGAAGTTCTTATCATACTTTAGGGTGGCTGTTCTGCAGAATGATACTGAAAATTAAAATTATTACCAGGTAATGATGAGAGCACTGGCCAATCCAATCAATTCATCGTTGAGCTCGATTTTAAGCGTTCAATGCTGTATACTTTCAATCGTCTCCGAAGAAATTTGTTGTCGGAATGCTTATTCGATTTACTTTTCAGGTCCCAATTTGATCCAATCTAAACACCTCTAACTTTGAAATTAACTTTATTTAACTTTTGGTATTTAATTTGCAGATCATCTCATCTACTTCCTAAATGGATTAAATTTGACAAAACATATCGTACACAAGCATGGCTTGAATCGTTTGCTGTTGATGGCCAGTTGATGATGTTTACTGAATCTATTCGCAATGTAATTATTCCTTTTGTAATGTTAATTAAACTAGGGCATCAGTAGATTAACAATGAAAAGGAATATTTGCATTTTATTATCCAACAGTAACCTATGAAACTTGAAGCCAGTTCATATAGTTCAGATTGCTTCTAACGTTTTAATATTTCGACATTAATTTTTAATAAAATTGCTGCAGCTTTTATCGATGAGTTTCAGGAAGTGGGAGCCACTTCCGAACTATATTTAACAAATCTGTGGATTCAAAATAGCTCAACACGACTACTACATTTGGATTTTGTTGGTGATATTGGTGTACTACGGAAACAAACTTATGCTGATTTATCGACAAGGAATGTCCTCACTTTTGGTGACTGAAAGATCATTTTAACAGTAAAATTTTCGAGCCCATAATCGGCAGGCTTAAAGCATTAGATTCGTACCGATTTCCTAATGTTGATCCAAACGGTGATGAAATTCTTCGAACCATCATTACCAAAGAATTCATTGTCCATAATTAAATAATCATGGCAACTTTTTTTTTCCAAGAATTATAACTTCATAATGTGGTTTATGCACGTGGGATGAACTTTTCTCCACAGTTTTGCGGTCTTTCTTTCCGAGAATATTCATCTTGAATATTTGGTCTTCTGCATGTCAGCTTTAGCTGGCATCCACAGTACATCATATAAAATCAGCTCTTTGTATTTATTAAGCTTACCATTGACCAAAATTGTTTGACATTACTTCAGACAGATTACAGGTGAAATGAGGCAATTATATGCACAAAATGTCCAAAATATTCAGCTAACAATGTCGCAAGCGTCACCAACATGTACTTTTTTGAATACAATAACACCAACATTAACAGTTGAAACGACTTTGACATCTACAACAGCTTCTTCTGGGAGAACAACAACAATAAATGGGATTGATCGGTTCTATTCAGAAATTGAAAATGATCACTCAAGTGGTATTATAGATCATGGAATTGGGGAAGAAATGAAAGCATTAATTACGGCACGGCCAACTACACAGTCGGCACAGTATATGATACATCAACAATGGTAAATATTATACAGCTAAATTTTCGTGATTATCAGTTGAAATAATGGAATAGTCACCAGCTTTTTATTTCTTAAAATTTTCATTTAAATTAAGAAATTGTCCTTATTCAAACCAACTCCAGTGACAGCAACAATGGCTGAACGGTGTGGCGGGAAATTCACTCATAAATGTCTAAATTGGAATGTGATCAATCTAGCATGTTGAACAGACACAAACTTTGAAATTAGTGGAATCATGTAATTCACTCATTCAGTTTGTATTCTTTGTATTCTTTCAACTTATATTCTTTAGATATGATCACCGGCTGAGCAGAGTTGCAACATTGAGGCTGTCATAGTGACGACCGAGCAATTCTTGTTAAAAACCCCCCAAACCGCGAACATAACTTTAATTGTAATTCTGGGATATTTGTGACTTATATTATTAATAATGGAAAATGTCCAAGACAATTTTTATCTTCCTGTTTTGGGCAAAATGAGACGAATTGCAAGACACTTTTAGTACGTGACATGCACCTCTTGCAGCAGTAGTACAGGAGTGCGCCACATATTTTACTACATAGTTAAGTGATTGCCGTATTGTTTGATTCCCTAATAGATTTAAATTAGAGGAGAAAGCAAGAAATTTACTACCAAAGATATGGTTTCAAAACTATGATATTCAGGATACAAAAATCCCCGATGTTTCCCTTCGTGGATATGTTGACAGCATTTGGTTCTTTGACCTAAGCGTACAATCTCAAAAAAATTGTATTTTCTCACGCGAGGGAATTCTCCAAACTCCACATATCAATAATTTTGACATTCACCTTTTTTTGGCCCGAATTGATATGTTTTCTGACTAATTATTAGCAGTAATCTTCACAGAAGAAATACGCTGAAAATGCGACAATAGAAAATATATTCCGGTTTATGGAAGCTTAAGATTGACTATACTGATACAAATGTCAGCATGGCGGTAGGTAGCTCGTTTTGTTGTAATCTTACGACATAAAATTTACATTCGATGTTCAGTAAAAACCGAAAAATAATGAAAAAATATCAAACAAATACGAGAAAGCACCAATACCTCCCACATAAGGAAAACCGTACTTCGCTTTATTAGCATTTGACTATTCTTTACTTCTTTACTTTGATGCATATGGACAAAACTACGAACATAAGGCACGATCAATCCTTCTTTCAGGTCCACCAAAGATGTTAGAAGTAAGGTGAAGGAATCAGAAAAGGAGGAGCTTGTTGGAAACATGGAGGAAACAGATACCATTCTTCCAAACAGCACTGATAGTGAAATATTCTGGAAGACCAGTATTCCCGAAGTTGGTGAAAGCGAAAAAAATACAATGCTCAGTGTTGATGATCACATCTATAATAATAATAACGAAGTGGCTTTAATTGCAGATCACAGCGAAGTGACCCCACCACCGAATACTACATTAAGATCAAATTGTACGTTGATTATGATGCAACTGAATATATTTATATGTTTACTCGCTTCTTTTCATGTATATCTGAACTTTAGTGTCCCTTCATGTTAATGATTGAGTCGTAAAATCTTTATTTCTAATGAGAATTTGATGATCTCTAATATCAAAAATAAACATAATTCAGCAAAAATCCACAAATTTATACTTATATGTTTACTTGCTTCTTTTTATATATGTTTGAATCCTAGTGTCCCTTAATCATGATTCATGCAATATCTTAAATTACTATATGAGCTGTATAGCAAGGTACTATATTTTCATAAAGCTTTCTCATTTCAAGTATTTATATTGCTAACATAGATCATAATGAAGGCTGAAAAGAATTTGATTAGAACTAATGAGACCTTTTCCTTCGCTTCCTCCTTCTCCAGTTAAATGAAATCCATGAGCAATGTAAGTGATGTAGAAGTCAGTTCAAAGTGACATTACATGCGCGGTATTTATTCAGGACGACTAAAGGCGTCTCCCACTCTTCCGATGTAGATAGTCCACTCAACAAGAGGTAACAATTAAAAAATGAACATATCAAATAAGCTATTTCTCTTTAAAATTATTTCCATTTCAAGGAGAAGAAAAATGGCGTCCAATGATGAGTGTTCGTCGAATGAAACACTTCTCGATTTTTTAATAACCAGAATAAGAACTACTGATAGGCAACAGTGAAATATAAATATGTCACTAGTATACAACATAACATTTTTTAAGTTGGTCAACTGGAGCTGCAGAAATATTACGCCATCAGATAAAAGATAGTAAATGTTGCGGTCAGCTATAACTACTGCCGTAATAGTAAACACTTATCGTCAGTACTGGAAATTATTTTAGCATTCATATAATCTTAACTGTCAGGTAACACCTTCCGCAAGTCTAATACTTCCAATGTCCCGTTTACTGATTGATGCACTGGTAGTGGATGTCCCATCCCCGTGCACTAAACAAGCATACATATACATACATGCACGTACACATGAATATGCATGCACACTGCGGCTGCAACTGCACCTTCAGCTTCAAATAGTTGGCTTTAGGAAATGAAAGCAGAGACTGTGACAGGAAGGATAACAAATGTTGCTGAGAGAAGAGGAAATGGTTACAAAGAAGAACAGGCCTGAGATTGAGTGTTGAAAGAGGAGAGAAGAGAAAAACAAACCGGTGAAGGAATAGTTCAACATACTTTGTGACTGTTACAACCTGAGTGAGATACACAAGTCGTTGCACTGGGAATCCAACGAAGTGATATAATCGCAGCTATCATTGCTGGCTAAACGGTTGTTGGCATAGTGCCAGTGAACAGGTTCTCTGGTTTCATAGTTTTATTTGGGATGGGGAGCAAGGTAGGTTGGGTGTGGTGGGATTGGGGTGTCTCACTACTCCGGGAACTGCTTTGCTATTCTTTTGTCTTCCGAACTGAAAAGGAATTAGTGCACCGTTTAGTGATCTTTATGGAATGTTAATCATTCATGTTAACAATATTATCTGTTACAATAAAGCATTATCTAAACAATATATTGTAAGAAGCTGAGCTCCTTAGAATTTCAGGACTTTTATGATATATGCTACAGCATTCATCTCTGCTGTCTTGTATTCCCTTTTAATGTGAAATTAGTTCTAGATACCAGTGCCACTACATGATTACTTTTGTCTCTTTTGTTTGCACTTTGGAGTGCTTTTGTTGGGACGTTGTACTGTTGTGCTTTCTTCCTTTTTTTAAGACTAAGAGTGAACTAATCTACAAGGGGACTTATAAGTGGCTTGCAGATGACGAATTGTTAGATCTTGCGACGCATGGTGTTCATAAACTTAAACCAGTACAGTAAAATCGGCACCACTGAGTTATATTAAGAACTGAACATCTGGTTACTGTATGAGGTTATTTAGTGGATTTTTGTATAGACCAAGTAGCAATTTTTATATGAATCAACATGTGGTCATGCTATTGTTTTACTTGTCAGTTTTTATCATAGCTGCTGATCTTTATTTTCTCTTTGTTCGGTGTAGTAATAATACCTGATTTGCATAATTAAGTTTTGCATAGCAAAATGGTTTAGTAATGATGAGCTTATACTAATGATACAGTCTTCCGTTTTTTTTTGTCCCTGATGCATTCATTGTTTTTTTCTTCAATAAGTAAAAAAGGTTCTCGTTTGAAAAGTGGGGATTCGACTATGAGACTTTAAATCCTTTTTGTGGTTGTCACGTACTGGTTTAGGAGCAGTCTGATTTTCAGTTTACCATCAGGCTGTTATTCTTGTTCCCTGTACTTGTGCAGTTAGCATTTCTCTCCAAACGTCATTTTGTTTATTTAGAAATTCTTTCTGAGGATCGGAATCACTATTGTATCAATTGTATAGTTATTTTACGTATTGAAAGAGTTTTGCATTTTTAATAACGGAGCTAAATCTTTTCCTTTTGCAGCTCGTATTTCGAATGAAGAGCGATTAAGAGCAGAGGGATTTCGATGACCGAATACAAGCTCGTAGTAGTTGGTGATGGTGGTGTAGGCAAGTCAGCCTTAACCATTCAGCTGATCCAAAATCATTTCGTTGAAGAATATGATCCGACAATTGAAGATTCTTATCGCAAACAGGTTGTGTTCTTGTTATCAACTTAGCATCATCCTCCACCATAGTTTTATTTGGAATGGGGAGCAAGGTAGGTTGGGTGTGGTGGGATTGGGGTGTCTCATTACTCCGGGAACTGCTTCGATATTTTTTTGACAAGTTTTCCAAACTGAGAAGGAATTAGTGCACCGTTTAGTGATCTTTATGGAATGTTAATCATTCATGTTAACAATATTATCTGTTACAATAAAGCATTATCTAAACAATATATTGTAAGAAGCTGAGCTCCTTAGCTTTGTTCAAGTTACTTTATGATAGTCATAAATTGATGTCTTATATTTTATAGGTTGTAATCGATGGTGAAACTTGTTTACTGGATATTTTGGATACTGCTGGACAAGAAGAATACAGTGCAATGCGAGACCAGTATATGAGAACCGGTGAAGGCTTCTTGCTAGTGTTCGCCGTTAACGAAGCAAAAAGTTTTGAGAATGTTACTCAGTATCGTGACCAGATTCGAAGAGTCAAAGACAGTGATGAGGTCAGTTAATTTTGTTTTATCATCTTGGGCTACACTAAATTTAATGCTGTTTGTGTATATTTATATCTAAGCAATACGAGTAATGCGAAGTGCGCAAGTGGTAGTGTAAATGCACCAGGTATTGCTGCAGGTGCCGATGGTGCTGGTGGGTAACAAATGTGATTTGGCGCAAAGGACAGTAGAGTCACGTGCTATATTGGACGCATCTCGCTCACTAGGAATGCCTGCCGTGGAAACGTCTGCCAAGACACGTATGGGTGTAGATGACGCATTCTATACGCTGGTTAGGGAAATACGCAAACATAAGGAAAAGCAGTGTATCAAACCGCGAAAAAAGCGCAAATGCGTAATTATTTGAAATTTTCACAATTATTTTGGCATTTGCCAAATTATACGGTTTGCGTAAATGAGCTCAAGATTTCTTAGTATGCGTGCTTTGATTAACTTGCGTTGTTGTCTCGTAAAAAGCACTATTTTAACGCCTCAATTTAACGTATGGGGAAGGGAGTGATTTTTTGATCTGAGCGATATCTTTCACAAGTTTTTACCGGTGGATTTTTTTTATGATTTGCTTTTCCAGTTTGTCATTACGGTTGTACACTCGCTAACTTCATTTTCTTGGTTTATGTAAAATTGCCAAATTGGCAATCATTTTCGATATTGCAGTAGATTGTATGAATGTGTAAATTTTAATTTTTAGCCACAGTAATTAAAGATTTGAGATCAGTAGTGGCGGTGAAGCAGTAAATAATTAGGATATAATGAAGTTTTACATTTCTCATGAGAAAGCATCGTTTTTCCCTTCTGTTTGATGCAGTACTGTTTTTCTTCTTTTTTTTTTTTTTTTTTTTTTTTAAATTAAATACTGGAAGCTATCAATTTAACAATCAGTAGCGTTTGTGGGTGGTAACAGTTCCTGTCACTCATATCACTTCCGCTTACCGCGGCATGTTTATTTGCTATTATAGAGTAACATTTATATTCGGATATGGTTTCTGCGAATTCTACATGTTGAGGAATGATACTTATTTAGTGTTGTTGCCGGTGGACTAGTCTTGTTATTGAACTTGAATACTTTGCTTCCAAATCTTAGTACTGTATATTATTGGTAAAATCCACTTCTGCGCGTGTTTTATAGACGCCATTTCGTATCTTGCATAGCAAAGCAGCACCAGCTGCTTCTTACTCCTTCTTTCTTTGTTTTCTTTTCTTTCGTAAATTCAAAATATGTTCAAAAAGGGTGTTTTAGATGGATTTGTATTGGCTTACAGTGATACAATGCGAGTCTTATTATAACAGCTCATTTTACACACAATTATGTACCGCAGAATTGCAAAACTTTCAAAATGTACTAGGGATTTTAAATTGGCATTAATGTATAGTTTACTTTTAGTGGAGTCGATTTGATGTCCGTTGTTTACTAAATAAATCCGTATTTATGACTAATTTTTGGTTTTTTCGATTTCAACAGTATTAGACTGTATAGTAAAACGAATTGCTTTAAGATGCTGAATAATCATTTCGATCTAATGAAACATTGAAGCTATATGGTTCAGGGATATGACATCTTATTGGAGACTGAAATAATATAATAATACCGCAAATACTCGGTGTCTTCCTGTTGTTTATCAATTTCTTTAATATTTTTCATTTCCCGTTGTTAACCGTTTTTTGCTCCGTGTTAAGTACATAGTTGTGCCATCCAGATGGTCCATCGAGTTTTTGTGTAGGTGTTCTCAGTGATAGGAGGTTGTTATATTTTTTAATTTAAACTGATAAACATTTTGATTAACATTGAAAGTTTTTTTTTCCTTTTTGATTTTATGGTGCAAGTAGCGAAGAAGTGAAAGTGTTTTTTACAGAGTTCGCAATGGAGTAATATGAGAATAACTTGTAAGAGAATAGAGAATAGGTTCTCCTTTTTGAGGAATTGTTAATTTATGAATGTT